TAGTCTTTAGCAAGGCTGAACTAAATGTCTTAAATTAATGAATGTCGTATGAAGCACATGCATAAAAAAACTCGAATACATATAATCTTTATTTGTTCTGCTTTGTTGTTTTTCTTTCAACATCTTTTCCCCGCATTTTCTAGTGAGTTTAATTCTGACGTCGTTTGATTAAGTAATTAAAAATTTTCCTGCTAAAAGGTAATTAACAAAAATCAACTTTATTTGAAAGAAGCATATTTATGTATTTAGATATAATAATAAATAGTATGTACATTTGGATTGGGATAACAAATAATATGTACCACGACTCCCCCAGAGCTTCCCTACATGCCATGTGCATATGCATTATATAATTATATCGGCATGCATATGCTCGTTTGAGATCCCGTTTAAATAAGGCCAAATAAAATTGAAACTAAGATGAGCCAACAAACTCAGAGTACGTCCTGATGACCTTTTCTAAAACTAATTCAAAAGTGGAGGAAGACTACTAGGGAATATTTGTGAATTAGGGTGGCAAACACATGGCATGACAAATCTCTTATTGCCCTCTTGGCATGCCAAGAATAATTGATCATCTTTATAAATTCTTTCGAAATGGTTCTTCATTCTATTAGTTGCTTATTCGAGTAAAAAAACACATGTTATTTTAAATTCAATATATCTTCAAAATAAAATCTAAATTTTATTACCGTAAAAATTCAAAAATACTCAACAAAATTGTAATATTATGAAGGGAAATACTTTTTAACACAAAAGGAACCTATACACAAGATTTTCATACATACATCTAATCCAAGTATTTTAAAATATGTTGATGTTAAGATATTTTAATTAAACTATGACTCGATCCAAAGAAAAGCAATATGTTTTTGTTTCTTAGACCCTAGACCAAATGGCCCAACTTTTAAAGAAAATAGCGTGAACTCCAATTTATTAATTATTGAATTCATAATTGTAAGTATGACACCATACCCATATCGAAAACTCAATTTAGTATTTTATTAATTTAATTTTAAAATTTGAAATTAATAATTAACAAGTTACGACTCTCTTAATATACACTCTCCATCCCTAAGTTTAAATTTATTTTTAGTTTCTTCTATTTGTCCTAGATAAGTTTATTTTTTTGGAATCATTTCATCGGAGTTTGTGAAAATATGAAATGATTGTATTGAGAGTAGATAAAGTGAGAAATAGTTGTATTGAAATTTGATAAAGTTTGAATATTCTAATCTTTTTGACTTTAATTTGTATTGGTATGTGTGGGATGGGTGAAAAAAAAATTATTTTGAAACAGATGGAATAAGCAACTATAATTTCAAAAGTAACCCTCATGTCTAGTTAATATTAAAATTTTAATATTTGTAGCATCAGTAATACTAGCTCAATACAACAAACAGATTGGAGACGAGAGAGGAGAGGATCTCAATCGATTGGTGACTAGTATAAAAGAATCGAGCAATCAATGAATGTTACCACACCCAAATAATATATATACACATACGCCGTACACCCAACTATATGTAAGCCAGTGGTACATTACATTGTACTCCCTTCGTTTCAGGTTATAAGACGTTTAACTACTCTAAATTTGACTAATTTTATAGAAAAAAATAGTAATATTTTTAACCCAAGACAAATATATTATTAAACTATGTTAATAACATATTGTAAATATTACTATATTTTTCTATAAAATTAGTCAAACTCCTATAACCTGAAACGGAGGGAGTACGTATACATCCGGGTGCAGCATAGCTAGCTCTAGTTATCTACAAGATACATTGTACTCCGTAAATACATGCGGTTTGTCCGTATCGTATCTGTACATATACCGTTTTCTGAGCTGGCAATGCAATACACTGCACATCTGTACGTATGTACGTGCACTGTACCCCAACCACTGTTTAATTTAATAATGCTAATATATAATTTTTGTACGAGCTGTACTTCACGTCTTCACCTGCAATGCCCACATTTGGAGGTGCCCATGTACGCAATTTAGTGGGCTGCAGAATATTATATTAGATAAATTAAAGGTGACTTAATTTGCTAACGCGGCGCATTAATCGTATAATTAGTACGCATAACTGTTACTAATTTCTTTGGTACATTCTGCACCGTACATAGTACTGTGGCAGTCAATTCTTATTAATAAAACCGCACGTTTAATTAATTTTATACCAGAAGAAAAGTCCAAACCCATATATAGAACATAAATTCCAAAAGGCAATCATGATTGATCTAAGCTCTCTTAACCCTTGTTTTTCTTTCACTTAATTACTTTGCATTAATCTGAATGAATATCTCAAAACGCTTTTGTTACGACTTAATTTTGGCAATCTTGGCTATATTAAGCTTTGCTATTTTTGAGTCGTCTTAATTTTTCTTTTCTTATTCATTAGTCAGCTCAATTTGTTGCATAAGTCATTTACTAAATCTACCATTTGCTAAACTTGCACAATATAAAAAATTGCAACTTTAGAAAAAACGAAGTGTGACTTTTAGTTTGCTTAATTTGTTTTTATTTTCTTTCAAAAATTAATCTAAGCATACTTTCTCTCCCTCCCCCCTCTCTCTAACTTTTTAAGGTTAGAACATTACTTGCTTCACCACAAGAAAAAAAAACAAGGATTAGTTGTTGATATTGATCTAATGTAAAAAAAAAATGATTGATAGATAAGAAAAAAAATCAGTCACTTGACGAATACATAGCCCCTCATTATTTTCGTATGCCTAAAATCCACATTATAAACAATAATTGTAGTAAAAAAAGTTAATTTGTGTTAACTCGTATCCTAAAATGGTAATCTTTTGTAAGCTAGCTAGCTGAGTCGCTGTCATAGAGTCATAGTATTCTAGCTCAGCAAAGCAACCAACTATGCATGTGCAGTTCGGTTGATTAAGAATTGGGCAAAGCACCATTTGTCACACTGTTAGGGAACAGAGGCGCTGCTTACTTTGTTCTGGTACATATGACTGGATTAATGGACTTGAGGTTAACTCTTACTAGTTACACCTGGATTTTTCCGGTGTCAGTCTTCATGTTTTTTTCCCCATAATTACATTGTGAAACACTGAAATTCGCAGTAAGAAAAGGAAGAACAAAAATTTTATATGACGAAAGGAAGTTGCAATGTTATATTTCATTATGCAACATATATACTTGAATGATTTAACACTAGTTAGTACTAGGCCCCTTTGAATCACGGGAATGGAAAAATAGAGTAATAAGAAAAACACAAGATTCTGATAGAAATGTAAGTGTAAAATAGATGATTACAAAATACAGGGAAAACATAGGAATAACCGTTTGATTGGACTAAAAAAACACATAACGAAATTTTGCAAGAGGTTGGAGTTCCTGCTAAATTTCCTCCAAAATCTCTACAACATTATCCATTGCATATGAATTTCAAAGGATAAAATATGAATAAATCCTTTGTTTCAAATGGTTTCATAGAAAATTTTTCTCTAGGGTTGAAATCTTTCAAAATCATGTTTTTCCTCTAAATCATATGGGCGGGAGTTGGGGCTTTATTCCATCACCTTATGTCTGCTGTGTGTATCACATGATGCAGATACTAGGATTTTCATTCCATTAACTAAACACCTTATGTCATTTTCCTTAATTTTTAAATAAACTTATGGTTGTGAACCTTATGGTAGAAACTATAGATGCAAATAATTTCTATTGAAAAAAACGGAGCAATCAAAACTTACAAATAATTAAATAGCCCTGAAAGGCTGGGACTTCTACCGGCCCATCCCACCTATATATTTATGCCCATTACTGTTAGGAAAGATAGAGCTGAAGCTGGATCTAGAGCCGAAGCCGAAGCCGTACCAAACAAGACTGAATGTTAGACTTTTTAGTGACATGTGAGAGTAGGGGACACTAAGCATTGGGAAGGGTGTGTGTGCGGCATATTATAGCAACGCGCTAAAGAGTATACCACACATTTAAATAGTATAAGTGAATATTGTGATTTGTGAATTACAACAGTTGTACTAAGTTATTTTTTGTGTACAGTGCATGGAAATATGAAATAAATTAAATGTGTCTTGGTTTGCTTATGGGCCTCAGATGCATCCAAGTAGATGGAAGTACGTCAGGCCCAGCCGTCAAAAGCTAATTAAGCTTCGATCTCTAATTACAGTTGTACCCTCACAATGAGTGTTTTAGCAACAAACTGTTCAAAAGACAACAATTAATGCTAGATTAATCAACTCGACATAATTAGCATGCATTTGTAGGCGTCAAACATTTCCTCGAACTATTTAAGAAACAACGTACAACCCTGTTCTTTCCATTAAGGTTTCTAAAAACAAATCAATTGCAGTTTGTAACCACTTGTCATTCACCCAACAGTATCAAATACTTTTTGATGAAACAGTAAGGTTCACACACTTCTATACTTCCAGTACAGAGGAATTATTAATTTTTATTAAAGCTAGCATATTTTAATTAACAAAAGTTATTATTAACTAGTTATCATTACTATTTTCTGCATACACTATTTCTTAATTTTTTCGTACATTTGTTAATGACATATAGGTTATCTATCCCTATAATGTTCTTTTTTTCCTTCACACATAGCTTCATTTAAAAAGGTAGAGAGTTGGTGGTGGAGGTGGTGGCAGATTTACCATTACCCTTTTTAAATTTTTACTGAAATATGTAGTCTTTGATTTTGCTCCATGTTAAGAAACTAATAATTATAGAATTGGACCTTTTCAACAAAATAAAACTAATGCAAAATTGAATGGCCACTATACAACAATCTGTCTGTACACCCTGTCTGTTTCGTAGGCTCTAAGATCAGCCCCACATGCCAAACACCAACCGCACACCCATAGTACAACACTATATCAACCCAGCCAGCTCTTATGCATCAACCCACAAATAAATTTATTTATTTATTCAATGGTTAGGAATAGGTGATTGATAATCCATTTCAAATTTCACAGTAATGAGGTAGATCCACACAAACTTAGAATGAAGGAAAAAAAGTTTTGATTTATAAGTACCAAACTTGATACTGCCATAATATAATAATCCTATACATGAATGTAACCACACTGCCTCACAAATTTAATCACCTATATGAACATCAAAAAGGTAATGGAGGTAAAATGATAAAAAAGAAAGAAAGAAAGAAAGCAAAAGAACAAACAAAATTACTACTGGACTCCAAAATCAATCTACATTGATGATTGATCCAACATTAATCCCCAATCACTCATCATGGCTTAATTGATTAACTCCCCTTCTTCTTAACTCAAATTATGTTGAATCATCATCTCTCTCACATTCACATAATGTTCTTAATTAATTAATTAATTACCTCATCCATCATCACAACAGTAATTAACTCCCTTAATCTTGCTTTTGTTTTGGCTCAAGAACTCATCATCATCATCATCATGGTGGTGTAGTAGGCGACCTTCTCCTTCCTCAATTCTGCCAAGAAATCGATCATGGTGATCGGCGGCGGCGACGCGGTGGCGGATTAATGGAAGTGGTGGTGGCCGTCGGCCCACGGCCAGAACGGCGGCTGCTCGTCGACGGCGCCGCAGAGCAGGCCGCCGAAGCTGCCCGCGCCGGCGGCGGCGGCGTCCGCGCCGCCGCCATTGCCTGTAATCCCGAGCTCCATCTTGGGCGGCGGCGGCGTCGTCACGGCAGCCGGGGACGGCGAGTGGCCGCCGCGGAGGAGCAGCTGGTCGATGTCCACGCCGCCTGCGCCGCCGCGGCCGATGGAGGCGTAGAACGGGATGCCTCGGTTGACGGGGCTCTCGTTGGCCGGCGGCGGCGGCGGCGGCGGCGCCGGCCTGGAGATGTCGAGGTTGATCTCGGAGCTGTTCTCGCTGCGGTTGCTGCACGACGCCTCCGTCTCCTTGACGTTGAGGTTGATCAGCTCCGACGCCGCCTCCTGCCTGCAGCTGCTCCCTCCTCCCCCCGCCGCCGCCGCTCCCCCCTTCAGCGCCACGATCTGCGCCACCAAGATCGAGATCGATCAACGCCATGAGTGATCGCGTACACGCCGGCAATGGCAGCTAATCATAGCGCGACACGACAGCGACATCAAAGACATGGACACCGATCCCGAGCCGACACGGTCGAACACCTTTCCGCGTGGCGACAGACCACGCACTGAAACCCACATGGATCGACCTCTCCAAGATCCATCCATGGCGATGCGATGCGTACCTCGGCGTGGAGCTTGGAGTTGAGGGAGAGGAGGGCGTCGTTCTCGGCGCGGGCGGCGTCGAGCTGGCGGCGGAGGGCGTCGAAGTCCTTCTCGAGCTGCTTCGTCTTCCACCTCGCGCGGCGGTTCTGGAACCAGATGGCCACCTGCCGCGGCTGCAGCCCCAGCGCGCGCGCCAGCTGCGCCTTCCGCTCCGGCTCCAGCTTGTTCCCGGACTCGAAGCTCCGCTCCAGCGTCCTCACCTGCTCCACGCTCAACCTCCTCTTCTTCTCCCCACCACCCCCACCCCCTCCCCCTCCACACCCATCCTCCTCATCCTCCGACGCCGCCCCTCCGCCGCCGCCATCGCCGCCGCTCGCCTCGTACATTGGCGGCGGCGGCGCGTCCATGGCGAGGTCGGGGAGGAAGGGGGAGAGGGAGGGAGGAGGAGGAGGGAGGAGGTGGTGGCCGCCGTGGCCGCCATGGGCGTGGTCCTGGAGGTGCTGGTGGTGGAGGGGGAGAGGCTGCTGCATCTGGAGGAGGAAGTTGGGCGGGAAGAACGGGGCCATGGCGCCGGCGGCGGCGCCATTGCTGGCCATCGCTGGCCTCATCAAGCTGCGAGCTCGAGCAGCGGCTGGGCGAGCATGGAGGGCGCGCGCGCGCTATATCTACCCAATCACTCACACTACGCCCATCTAGAGAGAGAAAGGCCTATATTCTAGAGAGAGAAAGATAGGGGGGAGTGGAGAGGACATGCAAAGGAAATATACTCCTACTGGTGTAAGATAAGATAATTTAGATGGTTTTTTTTTCTTTCCTACCCAAAAAAATTAATCGAGAAATTAGTAGGGTGTGTGAGTCGTCTAATAGTTTTGATGGTTATATATACATGGCTTGATAGTGCTAGCGTATTGTAAGTGGTGTATTAATAGTGCTATAAGTGGTGTTTGGAACATTGTATATATGGTCGGAAAAAAAATAAATTGTTACAAGTAAAACAAACGTTTTCAACCAAGTTTTATATACATTGCGATTCAAACCATGCATATGCTTTTATATGCGGCAATTTGATCGGGGTACTCTCTATTTGTCCTTTTCTCCAATAAAACACCTATGAAATGAGTTACAAAATATAAAAAATTAATATATATTTTTCTTAATTAGATAATAAATTAACAGCTATTAATCTATGGGAATTGTAGGACATGAAGAGTGATGGAGGTGATCACCAAACCAATGGCGACGCAGCATATATATCCATGCATAAACATAAAACCAGCCACTGTGGTGAATGAACGAATTAACAAAGATCAGAATTATGCCCTGTTTAGTTCCCACGCAAAAACTTTTCACCCTATCACATCGAATGTTTGGACACATGCATAGAATATTAAATATATAAAAAAAACTAACTACACATATTGCGTGTAAATTGCGAGACAAATCTTTTAAGCCTAATTACACCATGATTTGACAATATGGTGATACAGTAAATATTTGCTAATGACGGATTAATTAGGCTTAATAAATTCGTCTTGTAGTTTACAGGCGAAATCTGTAATTTATATTGTTATTAGGCTACGTTTAAATTCCAAATATGTATCCATATATCCGATGTGACACTAAAAAATATTTCACCCCTCCTCTGAAATTTGAGGATAAACTTTTGGATTAAAATGGCACGCTTTTCAAACTGCTAAACGGTGTATTTCGTACGAAAACTTTCTATATGAAAGTTGTTCTAAAATATCAGATTAATCCATTTTTCAAGTTTTAAAATAATTAAAACTCAATTAATCACACGTTATTACCACCTCGTTTTACGTGAAATACTTTATCTTCATCTTCATCTTCAGGAGATTCAAACACCACCTTAAACGGGGCCTTCACTAGTGGAGAAACCATCTTTGGTCGGTCAACCAGATTTCACAATAGTCCCGGTTGTATTAAAAATCGGGACTAAAAACATCTTTAGTCCCGGTTTGAAAGCTCTGAGGAATTTTTTGATTACCAACCAGGACTAAAGATCTATTTATAGTCCCGGTTGATAACACCAACCGGGAAAAAATATCGATATAAGCTTTACTCCCGGTTGGTGTTACCAACCAAAATAGTCCCGGTTGGTAACACCAACCGGGAAAAAAGTCGACATAAGTGGGGTGGTTGCACGCAGATCGGATCAATACAATCTCCTCCTCTCCCTCCTCCCACCTCCCTCTGCAACGGCGGGGCGCGGAGGGCCGGCCCGCGCGGCGGCGCGGCGCGTGGAGGGCCGGGCGAGGCGGCATGCTGGCGGCTAGCGGCCTTGCGGCAGCAGCCGGGGACGTGGCGGGCGGCGGCGGCCGGCCGGCGCGGCGGCGCGGCGCACGGAGGGCCGGGCGAGGCGGTGCGGCGGCGTGCGGGCGCGCTGGCGGCTGGCGGCGGCGACGCGGCGGGCAGCGCGGCGGCGGCTGGCGAGGTGGCGGGTCGTTCGTCTTCTTTCTTTTTTTCCTTTTTTTTGAGAATCTGTGATTCGGATCTGAGATGATTTGTGTGTGATGTATTTGATTTGTGTGTGATGTGAATATGTGATGTATTTGTGATGAATTTTGTAGAAATTGTGATGTAATTTTTTTAAGATTTTGTGATGTATTTAGAGATATTGATTTGAGAATTTGGAGACTATTCGGGAATGATTGATTTGGGATTTTGGGATGGGATAGAGTGAATCAATATATTAAAAACAATAAAGAAAAGAATAGAATAAAGTAGCAACCGGATCTAGCCTCTTTAGTCCCGGTTGGTGTTACCAACCGGGATTAAAAATGAATTTTTACTCTCGATTTTTTCACCCGGGACTAAAGATATCTTTAGTCCTGGATTCGTAGTTCCGGTTGAAAAACCGGAACTATAGGAGGGTTATGAACCAGGAGTAAAAACTGCTTCTCCACCGGTGCTTACCACATGCCAATACATATCCCAACGGATCAATCAGGGCCGGCCGGACGACCTGACACGCATTGCGTGCTTCTCTGCTGCGTGTGGGCCCCACCGAACAGTGGCACAGCGTACGTACTAGTACCAGCTTAGCTAGCTCCCCGAGCTAACGAGTGGCTGGCTGCTAAGCTTCTGTGCATATCTCGATCGATCGTCTCTGCACCAACCACGGCCATATGCACTCGCACAGTGGCTCTCTAATTCTCTATACTGACTGACTGCTACTACTGTGAACAGGCAGGCGAAACTTCCAACAGTACTTGGGCATGTGTATGTCTTCTTCTCCTAGCTACCTCCCTCTTGGGTCCCTGCATATGCCAACTCACTCCAATGCCATGAAACTCTCGAGATTAATTTCCACCACTTGGGCATACAAGCCTCTCTTCCTAATGTGGTGTGGATTGAGCACCTTGGATTCTCGTCGCAACAAGCTGTGGACGCTCGGATTTTAAGCGCGGTCTATGTGGTGCCCTGATGATAGGGGCGAAGATAAGGATGGGGAACCTTGGGCCTGAGTGCGCCCTAGGTTTAGCCTCGTAATCCCCACTGAAACCTTATCAAAATACTGTAAAAAAATTAAGTGAATACTGTAAAAAAATTAAGTGCCTAGCTAGTGTAAGGTTTGGCCAATCTCTGGCTCCACCCCTCTTGTCCGATGGTGGTGGTGCCGACTTGTAGCTGGTAATCGTTGGATGAGATCTCCAGAGACTCCATTACCTATATTGTTTTGTTGTTTGCGCCGAGGCAAAATATAGCGGGTCACTCAACTAATATTGGGCGTAATTACTCGGTTCATTTAATTAGGAAGAACGTCACATTGGAGTCGAATCAGATGGTGTTGTTTCGACGACGACAACGTTGATGACAGCATACATGAGATTGATGAGAAGGAACACTTTCTCGACACTGTTTTTATTAGCCACTTGGTGCTGCTAGTTTCCACAAAATAGAGAGCTAAGGACAAACCTTTGTTTTTAGACATTTTCGAGCATGGAGAAATAACTCCCCAAAAATATCAGGGTAAAAAAAGAGGAAAAAAAATAAAGACTACCTGGAGGCCGGTTGGCTCCTCTCTCTTTCTTTAATAGGTGACATAAATAGCATCTTAGGAGAAATGTTAACCCTAAAAAAGAAAAACTAATAACACTATCTTTGTTAGAGAAAGAGAAACCAATCTAACTCTTGACTGTTGGCTTTTCAAAAGCTAAATAACCACAAGGAAAAGTTAAGTCTACCATTAACTGCCGCATTAAAGATTGAAGCTATAGGACACATTTCCACAAATCACCTTATCATCAAACTATATGATGGCACCATTTCTGCACTTTTCACATTTATTGATTTGTGGTGAGTTTGGGGGGGGGGGGTGTTTTTTTTCTTAATAAGTGCACCTAGCTAGTTGAAACGAGATCTGTAATATGAAAGGAAAAACACACAGATGAACATTTGTTGATCGAAGACAACATGCAACATGGCTATCATTTTCATGTAACTGTTGCACATACAGGCCTAGATGACGTGGCAGAACAACATGTACTGTAGAGGCTAGCACCTAGCCCCTACAGGGATTTATCCAAGTACTAGTACAAAGTACATGGTAGTAGTATAAAAATACTGGTCCTGCAGATCATTCTCTGCAGAGTAAATCCATCAGTACTGACCATCACAGGGATGTTCCAAGCTTCCTATGATTACCAATTCATGCATGACTGCTGATGATGACACAATCATATGTAATTAACTTGGTCTCTGAAAAGCTTAACATTCTTCTAGGGAACCTAACCCCCCTCTTGAGAGCCCTATGATTAGTTGTTAATAGCTTCATAAAAAAATTAGTTGCTAATAACTATCCTAAGCTTGCTAGTGCATTCACAATGTATATATATAGAAAAGAAATCATGAGGCATCTTTTGCTTAATCCAGGGATGATTAAACTAATCAGCCCCATGATCCTTCCAAAGTTGTGCTAGGAGATTCTTGCATGTGTTCAGTCAGAATTTTGGTAGTTGTTGGTACGTACACTTGCAAATATTTTTGTGTTTGCTCCATGCGGCCGAGAAGCTGGCCGTCATGTGCTTGCAGGATCGTTTTGGAGAACCTTCTCACTAGTTTATTCTCCTAACTCTCTCTCTCACTTGACATCTCACTTAGTTTAGTGCATTATTCCAATAAAAGAATGTTCAAATTGATATAGTTAGATAGAATTTTTTTCCATAAATTACAACTCTCTTAAAAGTTTGAATTTTGAAGCCTTATAGCACTCGCTCGCTTGGAAAGTTACAATTTTCGTTTCGAGAGTTGAATGATCGAACTATTTCACGTGAAATTCAAGTGTTTCAAACATAAGTACCATATATTTGTTCTCATAGTGCACGATGAGTGGCGATTGAATAGCGCATTGTATATGTTTAGGAAACACATATCGAAGAAACTCTTATGGCTTATTTATTATTAGTTAGTGAACCGATTCTTTTTTAAAGTGAGAAGAAAAAGCATGGTACGTTTCTAGGCATGATCTTTTTTTCATCTAGGGATTTTTGGACATGCTGCATGATGCTGGAAGTGGAGGAGGATAGGAAAGTACAAGAGGGAATTGGAGGAATGAGCTGGCTATGTAGAGAAAGAATCAAATATACAAAATAAAAAATAATGTTGGTTTAGAGAGAGAGAGAGAGAGAGAGAGAGAGAGAGAGAGAGAGAGAGAGAGAGAGAGAGGGGTAGCTGCTGGCCACCATTTGATGTATTTTTTCAGAAAAAAAATGCAAGAGAAAAGAGGAGGAAAGCTGCAGGAATCTAAGGGGGGAGGA